CTCCACCGCCGCTTCCGCCGATGCCCGCAGTAGGATGCCCGCGACACACTTGCTCTCGTCGCGCGCGAAGGCCCGCCGCAGCTCCAGGCGCGCTATGGACGCTCGCACGCGACCCACACGGCGCTTCGCCTTGCGGATGGACCGCTGATTCCTTGGCGTCTGCCGCTGAGTGGCCTCCATGTCGTCCAGCGCTTCGTCCAGGCGGTGTTCGCGCTGGTCGCGCGTCACGCGGGGTGGTCGGCGTCGTTGCTGGGGCGAGGAGGTCGGAGGTGTGCTGGGGTAGGGCCGTGGAGCGGGGGCGAACGGCTGGAGGGCCTCGCGGATGCGGGCGGGGATGGCGCCGATGTAGCCTTCCCCCGCCGCCCAGTCCGTGGCGTCCGCGATGCGGCTCGCCATAGTGTCGACGAGTGTCTGCAGAGCTGTGGCAGCGGCGTCATGGTCCTCATCGCTCAGCTGTCGGAGGCGTAGCCGAGGTTGTCGCGCTGGGGCGGAGTTAGGCCCGATGGGGATGACAGGAAACGCCTCTCCGCCGTCACGTGCAGCAATCTCGGCTGCGACGTCCGCGTCCTCGCTCTGATGGGGGTCGCCCTCGTCGGTGGAATTGTCGCCAGCCGTATAGCGGGGTGCTGGTGTCGCTGCACTGGCTGTCAGCGCGGTGTCGGGGCGGAAGCATGCCGTCAGCCCTTGGTCGTGGAGTCCGCACTCCACCCTCGTACGACGTTGGTCCAACGCTCGGTTGGCCAGGCGGTCGGCGTGGGCGTTGGCCTGGCGGTCGATGTGATGGAGTTTGTAGTGTTCGAGCGCCTGGAGGCCGTGGCGCACACTGTTCCGGAGGCGGCGCAACCTGCGGTTGGTGCATCCAAAAGTGCCCCGCACCTGTGCAATCACCAGATTGCTGTCACCTTCGATCCACAGGCGGGTGGCGCCGTGGTGCAGCGCGCTCTGCACCCCGAGTAGCAACGCCGTGTACTCGGCGGTATTATTTGTTTCGCTGCTGCTCGGGAGGTGGTGAGAGCACGTCCACACCACGGCTCCACTCGGGTCGAAGAGAGCCGCTCCTGCTCCTCCGGGCCCTGGGTTCCGACGGCACGCGCCGTCGAAGCGCAGTGTCCACGGCTTTCGTCACCGGTCCTTAGTCGACGTTCATCGCTTCTTGTGTCTCCACCTGGGGTTGCTCGTCCACTGTGTCGGTGACCTCCATCGGCTCCGGAAGTTGGCCGGTGGCCCCGGAGGCACTGGCAGGAAGTTGGCCAGAGGCCCCTGCAGTGCGTGGAGGTCCCCATCGTGTGCCTGGACGGCGATCGCCCATGGGGACGGACACCGTGATCCTGGGTCCCCAACGTGTCTGGGTGGTGCGGCGAGGGTCCAGGGTGATCGTGAGGGGGCGACGGACACGGGCCGGCGAGGTCCTCATGCCGGTGTGTGGTGAAGTCGGTGAAACTTTCACCCCTTGGCGTACAGTGCTCGCTCTGGTCCCGAGTCTCTGGGAGATTCGGGTGCACAGAGGGTCAGAACTCTGAGAACCTTTTGGGAACTCCGAGTTTGGCGTGTGGCCCTTGTGTATACGAGGCGAGCGATTGCTGCCGCTGCGATAGAGCGTGGGCGAGGACCCCACCTCGTGGGGCGAGCGGCCGGGTCTGGAGGGTTTGGGGCAGGCGAAGCGTCCACGGAAGCCTGGATCTCCATGTCCACGTCTTGCTCGAGCTTCTCGAGGAACTCGTCCTCCGCTTCCTGCATTAGCGCGTCCAGGTCCAGCACGTCATGGTCCGCCGCGTTGAGGCGGCGGCGCTTTCCGTCCACGCGAAGCTCTGGGGGTGGCGAGAGTGGCACCAGTACGGGGGGGACGTACTGGTGCCCAGCTGTGGGAGGCACGGCGCTCTGGGGGTTGGCAGCACCTGTGACCGCAGTGTCGCGTGGTGCGGCTGCTACGGCCGCAGGCACCACCGCAGTGAAGGGACAGGTAGGTGGAGAGTCCACCTCGTGCTGCCACACACGAGACACAGACGCGGGCTTGGGGGTCTTCGTCGGCGCTGTCGTTGTGCCCAGGGGTGGTTGAGCAAGTGGGGCGGCGGTGAGGCTCTGCGTGCAGGTCACGGTGTGTTTGGTCGCCGCTGCTCGCGACCGGAATCCGATACCGCACGCGCATCCGCTGTGGAAGTGGTCGACAAAGCAGGTGCCGCGGTGCGACGTCCGCCGATGCGCCGCGAGCGCTGCGAGATCGCGGGAGGTGTACACGCACAACGCGCACTCGAAAGGTGCTGCATTGTGCGCATACACCGTCAGCACAGGGTCCTGTGGGCCGGAGGTGTTCGTGGTGGGGTCCCTGGCTTGACGCGTCCTCGCTGCGCTCGCTGGCGCGGTGCTCCACGGCGGCGCAATCGGCAAGAGGTGCTGCTGGTGCAGCTGCGACTGCTGCTGCCTCAGTGGTAGTGGCAGCCGCAGCTGGACGTGGTGGGGCCGTGGCTTCGTCGGCGAGCATGCCGCCCGCCCTGCCGGGTCGAGGCAGCACACTCGCGAGGTTTTCCGGGGTCGAGGGGGCGGCGGCGAGGTCGTCGTGGCCGTCCTCGTCGTCGCTGTCGATCTTGGGGCGCGAGCAGGTGCGCGCTCGAGCGCCAGACAGAGAGCGGTTGCGG